TATTATTATTATTATTTTCAAAAGATCGTTAGATTTTTTTTAACGGACCCACTAGGACAAAGAAAAAAAAAACTTTGAAGCATAGCCAAGCCACAAAACGCTTACCTGAGTCGTACTACCACCGGTGAACTGGTCAACCAGCGTATAGGGTGGAGGGGGTGTATGACCATTACGTTCTTCAGACTCATGAACTCGTTGCATTTTAAGAAGTTATTTTCGAAAGGAAAAAGCTCAGAATATGTATACTTTCTATTCAGACAAATTTGAATCTGTGGCTAACAATTATTTCCCTTTACGTTTACAAAAAAAATCACATATATATATCGATATGTTTATCAATTACATCAATTAAATCAATTTCAATTAGGCTGTATTCATCTGATCTATCTTTCTAATTCATCTGGTTCATCTAGTTCATCTAGTTCATCTAGTTCACCTGATTCAAGATAAACGACCAAAGAATCATCCGGATTTACCGGTTTTTTTTCATCCATCTAAATGTATATATATTCTAGATATATATATTACTATACCGGTATTACTATATTATATATACGGAAATTTTTAAATCCTGATTTTAGTTATCATGTTATCATGTTATCATATCTATATCATTATATCATTACCGTTACTATATTCACTGTCACGTAAGTTTGAGTGTACAATGGTGTAATAAAATTTCTAGGGGGTAGAGATATGAAAAGTCAGTTGCAATAGTTAAGGTAGTACAATTGTACAGAATCAATCAGCGAATAAAGATTGGGGAAGCTTATATTTACACAATGGTGGAGCCAAAGAAAGTAAATGGGTAAACATAAACTTATATGTGCACCAAATAGTACACCACTTATGGATTAATAGTTCACTACATTTATAACTTTACAGTACTGTTTATGTTTACACTACTATTTACGGTTTACTGTAAATTACTTCAAATGTGTGTACATTATAATTTATATAATTTAATATAATTTTTATATAATAAATATTTAATGTTTAATAATATTTAATATAATTTAATATAATTTAATATAATTTAATATTTATACACTTTTTTTTTTTTTGTAACTTTAATAATTTCAAAAGATATTCTGTGGATAGTATCGGAAATGATGCGTGGCAAAGTCGATAAACAAAACCGGTAATGTCCTTGAACTTCCAATCATCGTACAGTCTAATGCAGTCTGCTAAATTTAATAAAAGCCACTCACCACGAATATTCTGAATGTCCGCGGCAAAATTTTTTTTGTAAATAAACTCCATTAAACAAAGTACTAAACAAAGTATTAAACAAAAGTGTTAAGAAAAATATTACTATATTCAACTATGGTTCACCAACTTCCTACTAATGAGAAAGAATCAAAAAGGATATCTTCGTTAGAACAACGTGTAGAAGAATTAGAATATACATTCTTAAGAACTGCTAATACCCTTTTAGAGGCGAGAGTCGCCGAGTTAGAAATTTCTTTAAAAGAGTCAAATGAGGAGCGCGATAAATTACGAAAATTGTTGGCTGAAACGGAAATTACCGAGAGAAAGGATGTTTCCGATTTCGATGTCGAAAATGTTTGTGAAAATGTTTGCGAAAATGATTGTGAAGATGTTTTTGAAGATGTTTGTGAGGACATTGGTTCGGGTGGATTAGACGATAGTTCTGAAAATTCCAAAATTTTAAAAAATTTTGGTGATAAAGAATTTGAACGTGTATATGGTCGTATATTAAAACTCGTTGATAACATGAAGTCCGAGTGTACCAAGGCTATCCATTCTAAAATTCCTACGTCAAGTTTGCCTAAATTCGGAAGTCCCAAATTTTCCAGTTTCTCCAGTTTCTCCAGTTTCTCCAGTTTATCCAGTTTATCCAGTCCATTTGGTTCTCCAAAGACTCCTCCTGCTAGTCCTTTCACACCAATGTCTTCAAAAATGCCTATTCATTCGAGAACATCTAGCATGTCAGCTACTTTTATTCCTTCAAGACCCAACACACCTTCTAGTAGTATCAAATCATCAAGCATTCCTAGTAGTCCAATAACACCACCTGCAAGGCTTCCGGCTCCATTGAAAATACAAAATTTGCCATCCCCAAGTTCCATACCGAATACGCCCACTTCCACTCGTTCTCCTACAACTCCCGTTAATTCATTAAGCAGCCCTGCAATTCAACAAAGTTTAAGGATGTTATCAAGATCAAGAACACCAAGTTTACCAAATTTAGCATCAAGTTTTAATTATGATTCTTCAATACCAAGTCCTCTCGGTTCACAATCCCCCCAATCTGGTCTTGCACAAAAATCCACTAATACCAGTACACTACTTATGCATGATCGTGCTAAAAACAGATATTCTCAAAATTATTCCAACCTTGCTCAATCTACAGCATCATCTCAAGCAATTAAAGTATAGATATTTTTGCTATGAAACCATAATCAAATATCGATATGTTTTACTTAATGTATATTTTTTTATTCCTACTATTTTCTTTTGTATAAATCTTTTTTTACCTAATTCATTCATATTTCTTTCTACGCACATACATCATTTTACGTTTCATTATGTATAATCAAAGATTTTGTAACGATAAATGTATATAAGTTTTTTTTTTTTTTATTCCTTTTTTCAATTTTCATTTTACATATATACATATATATATATATATATATATTTGCTTTATTCTCTGGGAATGTTATTATTTTTCGGGAAAAATTATTAATCGTTCCTTCATAATTTGTTTAATCGCCTAATCCGTATAGTGATTTTTTTTTTTACATTCGCATTCGCATTCGAATTACGATTAGCAAACTCAAAAAAAAAGCCAGATGCCTCGTGAAATAAGATTACCATTGAATTCCCGCATTAATTTCCTGATTTCTACCGGTATGTCATATGATCGAACCTTTAATGTTGAACTATACGATGAACGAAACCTGTTAATTTCTGTTTTAAGTATGGTTTATCTCTCTGCAAAATGTGCACTTGCTTTATGCAAACTAAACATCTTGCATATGATCCAATTTTTAATCTAAACTGATCATCAAATATTTATACTTATTTTTGTTGATTTTAACTAATGAATAACCTTTAGTATATTGTCATTGTATGCAGGAGCAACCTTTTTAGACACAGTAAAGTAAAAAAGTCCAATTATCAAAGTTTTTTTGGAAATATTTCATGTGCTTTATTTTTTAAGGGGCTTGTACATTTACCCGCATTGGTCGTTACTCATTGGTCTGTTCTTTTCTTCCTTTATTAGTGTTAAATGATTTTCGAGTTAAATATTGTTAAATTTTTCTATATTGAATATCTGTTTTTTTAATACATATTGGTTTGTAATAACAGATAATATAATAATATATAAATATTCTACGTAGTAATATAATGTAATATATAATAATAATAAGGGTATGATAATAATAACGATGATATAATACTTATACGTATAACAACAATAATATACGTATTATAGGAATAATAATAATAATACCTATATAATATATACAGTAGTAATGATAATAATAACCATACGTACGTATAATATATACAGTAATAATCATAATAATACGTAGTAATAATAATAATACGTAATAACGATAAGAATAATATTTTACATATCAGATATATCGATACGTATTACTTATTGCTCATAATTGATCTTTATGTAATGGCAATCAGGAGTGCAAAACCTTAAATTTATTAACAATTTCGTTAGTCAACTCTGATTGGTAATATTGGTAATGTATGTTATTCCCAATTTTTATTATGCTCAACAAATCTATTAGTAATGAACCGTTCCAGTTATTAAAAATAATAAATTCTAAGCAAACTGAAGCTGATAAATCGGAAAAACGACCAATGTTATTGTTACATAATATTATTTATTAATACAACATTTAACGTATATTCGATCATTATTCTAATAAATTACATAATTTATTTCTATTTATCGCAGTTTTTGTTTTGCTAACCAACCGACTTATGTATGTCGGTGATATCTCTCGGTATTAGAAAAATGTTACACATTCTTAGTTTTTCCACTTTGTAACCTTTGTAAGAACTAATGGTAACAATTCACACCAATCTATTTTTGTATCATAAAACATGTTATTCTGTTCTGATTCTCTTTTTCTTTCTTTTACTCTCCCCTTTTGGTAATGTTTTCTTTTTCGGTAACGATATCGTTTCATTGGTGGATTCTTCACTAGCTTCCTCTGGAACTTCTTCTTCTTCTTCATTTTGGTTTTTTTGTTTTCTCCAATCAGTTGGATCTTTACGAAGTTGACTGGTAGTGTATAGATCCGGAAGCTCATCAACTGCAGAATTATGAAATAATTTGTGTTAACTTCATGAATAATATATTTTGATTATTTTTACTACTTACCTTTCATAGATCCAAATTTATTTATTTGATGAACCAATTGGTGATCTCTTGAAACCTTTTCGTACTATTCAAGAATAATATTATTTAAATATTAATTCCGTTAATACACTAAATATTGTATAATCTTTTTTGGCCAACCTTATTATTGTCTTGTCTTAGGAAAAGAGTTATTAAACCTTCTTCAATATCACCACCATCCTTTGATGAACTCGAGACCCACAAATTTCCTCGGAGATCATATGCACAATCCAATGGATTTGCATTAAGTGTTAACGTTTGCATATACTTAACATGGCGTTGCTCTGCATCCCAATTTAATATTAAGACCCCTGGAAACCTTTATATTGAACGCGTGTAATTACGTCAAATGTGAAATTAAGGTTGATTAAATTATTTACATCAAAAAAAAAAAAAAAATCATACTTTTCTATGATTATAGCAATATGCTGCATAACAATGCTGCTTGAAATAGACATGACTGCAATATTCTTTGATTCAGGTATGGTATTCGTGCCATCAATGTTTGATTCGTTTGCTTCAATGATCTTAATATAAAAAGATAATAACGATAATGACGACAAAATCGTAATAATGCAGAAATAATATATATTTAGAATGAAATGTACCTGATTTTGTATAAAGTTTTTAATATCAAGTGTTTGTATTAACCTCCCTGGTACATAATCCCATAAAGCAATAAAGTCATCGCCACCTGCAGAAAGTAATAAATCAGAGTCCCAAGGTAATATGTGTAACGTTGACAGAAATCTGTAGAAAAAAAAAACAATGGCAAATAATGTCATAAATTAAATAACATTTGTCCTATTACAGATATTTATTGAACTAAATAACTATTTACTGTGTGTGACCAAAACAATAAGATTCGATATTATATCCTTTGGGAAATTGACTGACACGTATATGTTCGTCACGGTCAGCTGTGATAACAAATTTATTGTTTGCTGTCAGCACCTATATTTAAAACAATTATTGAAAAAGGATTACAAAATGAATTTGTTGGAAACTGAACTTTAGTATTCACTCTTTTTTATTACCATATCGGTGATCATAGATACGTGACCTAATAATAATTCTGAAGTATTCTCAGGATTTGTTGGATAACTATAGGTTAAAGAATTTATTTTGATATTAAATAGTTCGCGTAATCATTGCGGAGGTTGAAATTGAAGCTAAAATTTAGGGTCTCTATAAAATCTAATAAACCTACTTATACTCTTTTATTAATAATTCTAACCCTAAATTCTAACTTCTCAAAAAAAAAATTTGAGACAAAATTGATGATTACCTATAAACGTCTCCAAATTTGTCTGCAGTTAAAATTTGTGACCCATCGTTATTGAACGCAATGGACACGACGCGTTTCGGAACTGATCTATAATCAAATGACATTAATTAATAAATTTTATATAAATCGAGAATACCATGATAAATTTTACCTCGAACTAAGTAACTTCCATTCTTTAATATCCCACACCTTCAAAAGCTTATCCTCACCACTTGACGCGAGTAAAGATCCATCAACTTTATCGTGAAATGCAATGGCCCTTATGGAAGCTTCTTGCACATCACTAGTTGAAATATATTTTACTTGAGGTGTTGTAGGTTCATGATCGGCATTATCTGAATATAAAGTACGTGTGCTAGCTATTATTGCACCTGTGCTATAAAATTTTATATTAAAATTATTAGGCATTTTATTTTTTATATGTGAAATTTATGCAAAAAAAAAAATAATGACCTTGAATCTAATGCTTGAAAATGTGATCCATATACCAATATCAAGAGATTCCTTGCTGGATGATGAAGTAATTTTCCAAAAGGAAGTCGATATGCCATAATTTTTAAGTCAAAAGACTAACACCGTTATGCTTATCACTACAAATGCACGTGAATCAGGATTAAATGTCAGGAGCATAGCGAACTTTATTGTGATTGGCTGATTTTTGTATATCATCTTATCATACTAAGTCTTATTAAAGTAACGATTTTCTGTCACGAGAATGAATTCGCGATAGAAACTGCTCTACAAGACGTGGTAATCGGCGAGGTAATTCGGAAATTAAATGAGAGCTACTTTTGGGTAATTTGAAACTTTATATTTAGTTTGTAATCTGTTTAAAACTATACGATTTATTTTTTAATTTCGCAAAGACGTTTAGTGGTATGTTTATTCTTTTCTATGTTTTTACTCTTTTCATTTTTATTTTTTAAATTTTTATTTGATTATTAATCTTAGGTTTATTATTGAATAACAATACAAAGTTTTAGTAGCATTGTCACGATAGGTGACTTTGATCTTTAGTAGTTATTGATATTTAACGTTGAGAACGACGTTGAAGCTGAAATTTGGATTTATCTTGTGTTCTATTTTTAAATGTTTTGTGATGCTTTTTTAAAGGTTAAATTAGGATTTAGGATCATTGCTGTTAGCAAAATAGTATAGGTGATTTTGGTAGGGTCTTATTTTCAAATCGAGGGCCTTCAAATTTTAGCATCATTCATACATTTAACCAAGAAGGCGAAAAGGATTTGTGTTATTAATTGAGTAGATAAAATTTATTGATTTCATAATAAACTTATTATTTCTTTATAGAAAATTATAGAGGCATTAAATGCATTCCTCGCATATCAATAACGTTCCTTATACATATGTATAATGATGTGGGGGGGTGCCAGTAGAAACCAAGCAAATCAAAATTTTTTCAAAAATGAGTTTTTTTATCTAACTATAATACAAAATTTTGCAAAAAACATTTTTTACTTAATGATGAACCTCTTATTAATTAATAAAATTTTGAGATATTACGTATTAAAATTTAAGTTACATGAAATTTCATTTCGGTCGGAAATGGATCATAAGATCGGAAAACGGATCGTTAGATCGGAAAACGGATCATCCGATCTTTGTTAAATCAGAAATAGTTAACCAATAATAACCAATAAAATATTAAATCACAAACGCATATTGTATCAGTATTGCTAGTTGGTAAATTTAATGACTACATACAAATAATAACTGGAAATTTGTATTCATTAAGAAAATTTATATCTGGGAATTAATAACTTATTCTCTTTATCCAGATAATTTACTATATATAACTATATAACAACAATTTTTGCCTAGATAATATCTTATTTTAAAACAAGTCTGGTACTTTCGCAAGCATCAAGAGTATAGGAGCTTAAAATTTTATCAATACAGCTCATTATATATTAGTGATGCTAACAATATTTATAATAAAACACAATAAAATATAGACTATCCACATGATAGATTAATACTGTTATAGAACAGTTTATTATTATTTTATTATTTTATTAGTTATTTATTCCGATATTGTATTTTATTATTA